TATGTTGCATTATTGCTATTGAGTTTGATGGCTTCTGTATAAAATCCAATAGCTCTGTGCCATTGCTTGCCTTTGAATGCTTGATTACCCTTGAGACGAGACAATATGTAAGATGACAAAATCACTATAGATACGTTCTATTCTAATTTGGTTTGTCAGATTAGAGGCTGGACAGGTAGGTGATGTAATGAATTTCTCAATCAAGAGAAAACCCAATATGGATGACAATTAAATGAAGTGTGAACCGGCTGATTTGCAACAAAATCTCAAGTACTGCAAAGGCATGTGTGGATCAATGTAATGTGCATGACTAAAGAGAAGAGTTTTAAAGGAAAACCTAAAACTTTATTTTGTACTCACTTACTATTAGGAATGATAATAACATGGCCAAATTTCCCCATCTTAATTCTTGAAGTTAGACAAATAAGCTATTCTAGATAACACCTACTTAGAAACACCAGAATGCTGGTCACTCACTGTAATTTATTGGCCTAAAAGTCCACAGAAGACATGCAAAAGTTACAAATTTTGTAACATTTTGAACACTCAATAAAATTTCAAATCAATTCACTAAAGGTGGGAGTGCCTTTGAGAACTCACAAACTATCTTATGGAGTAAAGTACAACAAAGAGATGGAAAAGAAGAAACTCGAATAAAAGTAAAAGGTTATATAACCAAGGATGTCGATAAACATCCACTTCATAGAGATATTCTTCTTTCTCATGAAATATTTGATTCCTCCTTTCCTAGCGAAAGACCCATATAAAATAGCCTAAGATAAATCGGTAAATTAAGTAAGAAAACTTAACATGATAATCTTTAATTTTGAGCTCCCTGATTTTAGGATAACTCATAACTCACTCTTTATTATTCAGCTCCACCAATGATATGCGAATCTTGCAACTTAAATGTTCGATTAATTCCTATATTTATCAGATCCTTTGGATCTCTAACACTATATTAACCAATAAAAGATATATCGCCATAATATGGTCGGACTTCGGAGGCTCTTAGGATGAAATTAACAGAAGATTACCAGCTAAACAATTCATGTCAGCACCCAACAAACGAAGAAACAAAAAGAACATCATTCAGGATTTACCTTTTCTTTGGCCATCTCTGCTGATGTTTCGAGTGTCACAGCGTTACTAGATGATTTAGGCTTTACAGCTGTATCAGCCAGTTCCTGGAAAGAAGCATATATAGAGTGCAGCGCGTCCAGCAGAAATCTATCATCCCCATGCCTGGCTAGGAGTGACAGAGAAACTGGGCACTTTTCATGGACTCCGAGAGGTAGCGCAACCTAAAATGGTAAAAGTGAACTTGCATGAAAACAGATGATATTCAATCTTACGCTAGCAAGTGTGCATGGGAAAAAGAGAAGGGACATTAACCTGACAGCAGCCTGACATACTAGCTAAACTTGAAAGACTTGAAGTCCGAATAACGTATTCCTCCGTATAAATCTCCTTGGCTCCAAGTTTTGCAGGAGGATCAAAAGATGTAGGAATCACTAATATTCCATCATCCTGGTTAGAACAAAATAACAAGCGAAAGTCATATAGCAGCATCATCCAAAATCTGAGGAAGTATCAAACTGAACTACTGAAGCCAAATCTATAAACTTTATTTGACTGGAGTCAGAATATCTGCCAAAAGGGATGCAGTGTTGTTTGCCTCACAACTAAACCACCCAGTATTGCAGCAATAAGACCATATTGGGAAAGAATCGTATGGAGTGGCTCAATAAATATGGGTCATTTTTTATTTTAGGTCAAAGCAATTATGCAAAGCAAATGATATTGGAACATGAAACTAAATCGAACAGAAGAAGACAAACTCAAGACACATAAGAAAAAACTGCCAACCTAACATCAATTCTAAGACTAGCAATCATCACTATTATTGTATATCAGCTAGGGGGAGAATAGTATCCAATTGTTAAAAAGTTACTCAGCCTTGGTTTTAAAAGACAAAAGTACTTGTCAAAGTTGTGATTTGTGAAGCACTTCATCTTTCTCCTAAAGGAAAAACTAAAATGTCCAGATTACAACACAGAAACAGCAGACCAGAGATGGGGATACAAATTATTTTCGTTAAAGCAAGCAACTGTCAATGATGACAACTGAAATCAAGAAATCACTACAACGTTCATTTCACAATAATATATATCCAAGAGTATTATTCCTATGATCCTATGTCTATTGAAAACTACTAATTATTGAAGAGTCATACTTAAAGATTACAACAACAATTTCCAAAAGCACTTATAGCCTCAAGCACTAAGAGACAGGAAAGGGGATAAATAAATGTATCAATCTGACCAAGTGACCATACACTGGTTGTCAGAAATGAAAACAATGAAAGGACACACCACCAAGGATTGCCATCTGAAAGGAGAAGCATGTTAAATCAATACTTTTAAAAGGGCATTTATAGCTGAACGCAATTCACTCCTGATGGTGTGATATTTTTCTCTGTCTGCATCAGTCAAATCTAAATCTTCAGATACTTGTGCTGAGATAACAGGATCCAAAGTAGGCTTTACAGAGTTGATCCAGTCATTATGAATTTCTCTAAATTCATGCCTGCAAGAGAAGGCAAAAAGTTACTTCACTCAGGATCAAATGAAGTAGGCGTTCTATTAGTTTGTCTCGCGTAAGAAATCCATGTTTAAACGAACATGTAGATTACCGCGTTTTTAGATAGGTGATCCAACTGACTATCCGCACATGATTTAAAACATTTGGCTACTATAAGACCAAAGTAGTAACACATCTAACATCCTAAGAAGTGGGGCCCATGCAAAGGCAAACTTGCGCTTCTATGCTGAATTATATGAAATTAAGCATATCAGAAGACGCGTTACAAATAGAAGCACCTGGGCCCCAGAAAGACGAATTCTAATGTAACCAGTTAAAATATGAAAACAGTCATTCAAAATCCAATTACTCAAATCCCTGGAAAGAAAATAGCTGAAAGATTTAGCCATTTAGGACTTGATTACTTGGCTGGTCATCATATATCCCTTCATTTCTAATGTTTCTTTGCCTAGATATCTGCCCGGGACTAAATGTTGGGCAGGATACAAATCACACATAAGTTTGATAATTCTATCTGGGGGTTTGGGGGTTGATATTTTTGTCCCTTGTTCTTTAAGTTTGAATTTAAAAGTCTATTGCCCCCAACATTTGTAGTAGAAAAGTAACTTTCAGCATTTAAAGCTGAAATAAAAAGGGTATAATTGTCAAATAGATTATCAAGGAAAAGGAACACATGATAGGACTAAATAACCAGTTTGGGAAACTGAAAGACTAATTCTATATATTATCAAAAAAAAAAAGACTAATTTTATATGAATAGTAGAATAACTGGCGTGGTGATTAATTAGTCTTATCACCTCATGAATTGTAACCGAGCCCTTGTACTGTAGCATAGATACCCATAGCTCAGAGAAATGTAATTGGAACAGCAAGGGTGAAGAGTTTTAAAAAAATAAACAAGAAAAGAACGTAGTAAAAGTGATGTGCATTGCATGTGGCAAAGCATATTCTTTCTAGAATAAAAACAGACAACATACATATTAATGTGACTATTTCCTCAGTGTTACTCCAACTTACCTTTTAAGCTGCTGCATGACACTTCCCAGCAATACAACTGGAGAATATTTGCCCTCACCTTTTAGTTGATCCATATTGATATTACTTAAGCTTGGAATCTTCAACTTCAAATAATCACTAAGATTCTCATGCCTCACGACTTGTCCTGAAAGGTGAGCCTAGTAAGCAATGCTGGATAACAAACAAAAAAAGCATAACTAAAGAGAATAACACCAATAATTTAAAACAGCTATTAAGAGGAGACATACTTCCATAAAGTTTCTCGATGGATTTTATCACCACCTGAGTGATGTGGCCTGACGGAAATTTTGAAGACTGGAAACAGTCATCTGCTATCACAATATTCCTTGGGTTGCGTTGAGCGGCATATGGAACCTGCAACAGCACATGGGCAACACGACGAAGCACATTGGGATCCTTTGCAAACCATCCTGCAGATTCAAAGATCCAAAAAAAAAATTTGGGAAAAGTTATGCTTGAGGCAGCATGGCAAGATAGTATATTTTTCAAATATGCTGAACTTGTAGAAATTCATGACACAAATCTTAATGGCAGGACAAATCTACGGATGATGTCTGTGGAGGAGTCCTAAATATTCTACCAGTCGCATACAATATTGCATGGTATTACTGCTTGTGAACATTCATATGCCAGCTTGTATGAGGCAGTAGCAATAATTTCCTATTTCCAAGCAACTTTTAGTGTGTCTACAGCACTTTTTCTCGGCAAATTTTATGAAGGGAATTTACTTTGCAAGTAATGCTAATTGCCATGATTCTTGAGGAACAAAGAAAATCCGCAAAATTCACCCGAAAGCCAGTTACCAAACATTGCAACCGAAAAGAATGCTAACTGAAGTTATACGTCAACATCCTAGCACTGCCCCACCATTACCATCACCACCCAAGCAAGAAAAAATCATAAAAGGTCACACGAAAAGAAAGCAAGAAACTGAAAGCATCATACCTTAGAACAGCAACTAAAATTACATGAAACAGTGTAAGTTTCAAATTCCTATAATCTTGGTAATATTGCATAGATAT